TATATGAACCATAACAGAAATGGAAAAGTGATACTTGGGGGAAATTGTGTTCCATTATGGATTTCAAAGTTTGTGAGGTCTAGGTAGTATAGGAGAGCTGGAGGATCTGTAAGTGCTTAAGCCAGTTTGAGATCTTGGGAGATTATAATCTGGTTGGGGTAGAATTCTGGAGAATCAGACTAAATTAGAATGTATGACTCATGACTCACCCTGACACATTGCCTGTTACCAAGAGAATGTTACTCATGGAAGGTATGTTTGGATAAAGGGGAAGTAGAGAATACCAGAAACTGACCAGTCCTAGAGTTCTCTGGCCTCTGGACAGAGTAGTTTTCCTCATTCTACTTTGGAAACTAGGTCATGGTCATGGAACTTTGAGACCTACCTAGCTCTGTTTATCCCACTGAAAGCTTCCCTGGTATGGAGTCTCCTGGGCATGTGATTTGGTTGACGAAAAATAACTAGAACAACAACAACCATTTATTGAGTACTTTCCATGAGCCAGTCATTGTGCTGAAAAATTTACAAACACTATTTTATGAAAACCAACAAGAACCCTATGAAGTCCCATATACTGATGCAAAAGCTGAAGAAGACTTATTTTCTAATGTCCTGAGTTGCAAATCAACCTTTTACCAGCATGTCACGAAGATTCCTGAGAGTAGTTTCCCCAGAACATCCTAGATTTTGGAAGTATTTAATGACCTGTGGCAGAATATTTGAGAACAGTATCCTGAATCTTTCTTTATTTCTTTTCTTTTCTTTCTTTTTTTGTACTCTCCCTTATTTTTCTTTCTTTTCTTTATGTATATGGTGTGAGTGTTCATTGTAAATATAAATGTGTATGTATATACATATAAAACACTTAAGTGTTCTTACTTTGTTTTCCCTGCTATTAGGGGAAAAAAGCACTTTGGTATACATGACAATTTAATTTCCAAGCAAATTTGTACTGCAAGGGGGTGGAAGGACTATAGAAGGGTCTCCTAAGAAGACATGACAGGGCATATCCCTAAATGAAATATAATCTGTTACTTACATAAAGTTTAATGTGGATATGGCTGACTTCAATAATATAATCAGATCAGCTATTTTTTGAAGACCTGTGTTTTGTCAGTGTGCTAGACATGTTAACTGGGTGATATAATTTACTCTTCTCGGTAACTGTAGGATAGGAGACCCATCTCCATTTTGCAGATGGGAGCAGTGAGGCCAACAGAGCCTAACTTGCCCACTTTGGTCTTGTGATCTTCCTTCTGCTCTACAGCACCACTCTGTTATTAAACAGAACCACGTGAGTATTTTTCCTGCTTTCTTAATAGGAGGATTTTTAACTGTCCTCAGTTATTACTCTTCTTTCTGTATAATCTAGTAAAATTGATGTAAAATATATATAAATTTCAGTATGACCTTCTGATTTCAGTATTTGTAGGACAGCACCGCCCCCCATATTTAAAGAAAAAAAAATAAAGCTTTATACATTGATAGATTTATAGATCAGATTAAAGGTTTGTAGCATTTACAGCATAAAAAAGTGAAAATGGCTTTTTACATCTCTGCACTGGCCTTCTCACTCAAATCTCTTCTTCTTTTTCTAGAGGAGCTACTATTAACAGTTGAGTGCATGTTATTCCAAACTGTGTGGGTGTGTATGTCTATGGTGTTATGCATAAACTTAAACATAAAAATAAAGCATTTTCTTTTTTAAAACAAGTGAGCTTACATTGTGCATTTTATTCAGATATTGTTTAGGTAAGCCTATCTGTTTTTTTTTTTTTTTTATGTTACATTAAACCTCATTATGAGGCACCATAATTGATTTAGCTGTTTTTGTGATGATAAGCATTAGGTTGTTGCTAGTTTTCTTTCCATTATAAACAATATTTTACTGTACCCACCTCATTATATACTGTGTGACTGTGTATTTTTTTTTAATCCCCTGAGCTACATTTCCAGCCCTTCTTATATTTTGAACCTTCTTATATTTCTCTAAGTTGTCCTGGCTGACTTTGAACTTCTGATCCTCCTTCCTCAGCCCCTGGAGTAGCTACCATGCTTAGCACATGGCTATATCATTAAAGAATGATTCCTTGAAAAAGAATTGCTAAACGGAACCATATACTAAGTTCCTTTCTTAGGTTTTTGTTTTTATTTTTTACAGTGTTGGCCTTGCTACATTCATTTCTTAGTGGTGGTTTAGAAGAACAATTTCCTGACTATGATAGGCCTCCATTCTAACCTAACCTTATGATGAACTGCATGGCCACCCCCATGGAGCTGTGCAAATCATACTTCAGGCCCTTCACAGCTTTTCATAGGCTGAATTTGGTCTTTCCTGTAAGATAAGACTCAATAATCTGGTGATACAGCCAGCCTACCCCTGCCTTTGTGGGTAAGTCTCCTGCCTCCCAGCCAAGTAAGGGATTTGAGTTGAACAGACAGGCCCCTCAGGGACTGTGGTCTCTTTCACTTTGTATCCCAGCCATCTACCTAAGAAGCTGTGCTCCTCCTGAGTGGTGAGACCAGAGGTTTGCTCATTCCTTCAGTCTTCTATTTATCAGTTTCTCTAGGATATTTTCACTACAGATCTACATGGCTTGCTGCTCACTTTCTTCAAGCGTTTTGTTGTGGTTTCTTGTTGGTGGTTGGGGAGAGTACTTAGAATAGAACCCAGGAGAACTCAATCACTAAGCTACATCCCAGCCCTTTTTATTTTTTACTTTGAGACAAGTTCTCACTACATTTCTGAGGCTGGCCTTGAACTTGTGATCCTCCTGCCTCAAACTCCCCAGTTACTAGGATTACAGGTGTGTACCACTGTTCCCAGCACTTTCTTTAAGTCTTTGTTCAAGTGTTAATATTTTTTAAAAAATCAACCACCTTATGTAAGATTTCAGTACACTACCTCAGTTGCTCTCAGGCATTCTGGCATTCTCTGTGACATCTTTTGGCTTCAAATATATATGTAAGCTCAGTGTGGCAATCACTTTTTCTTCACTCTTATTCTTAGTACCTCGTTTAGAGCAGACATTTAGGAAATGTCTGTGGGTTCAGTGAGTAAGTGAACACACACATGAGTTCAGGACCCCTCTCTCAGATTAGCACCCACCAATCACACAACCTGCCTCCTTCCTGGCTGTTGTCACTCTCACCAAGGAGCTCTCAGGGTGTTCGCTTTCAAACAGGTTGGGCATCATCATTAGGAGGGTCAGTTGGGGGACTGCCATAGGGGACTCTTCAGATGTCTTTACAGAAGTGTTATGAAGAATAATGCCAACACAAATGCAATAGTATACCATTGATTGCTTACTGTGTGCCAGCAAGTAAGAGCAACTAGGGAAGGAGGAAAGGAAAGTAAGCTATTAGCAGGGAGGAAAGGGGGTGGGGAGAGGTTAGGAATATAGCTTAGTGGTAGAGCATTTGCCTAGCATGTGTGAGGCCCTGGGTTGGATTCCCAGCACAGCAAATAAATAAATAATAAAACAAAAAAGATGAGGTAAAGAGATGGAGAAAGAGAAAAAAATAGAAAGTAAGTGTTGGGGGGAAGGAAAGAGAAAATGAGTAGGGATTGAATTGGAGAATTTAGGGAAGTTGCCTAGGGCCACTAGAGCTATTTGCAGAATTGACTCCTAAACATGGTTGATCCTAAAAAACTTAAAAAGCTCTGCTAGTGTGAATTTCTCTAGAATATTTGTAACATTCATGTTGCAGTTTTAGGGAGAAGAGATACAGTAACAAATGCTATCTACCAGAATGGAAACATTGTAGTTAGCAACTTATCAACTTAAAAATTTCATGGAGAAGGAGCTATAAGGCCTTATCAGGAGCCGAGAATGGAGCTCTGTAGGGTTGTATGCAGTGATTTTTCCTTATATGAAATTTTAACAGCCTTGTAATCCTAGCAGGCTGTAAATCTTTAAAATGATTTCAGCTTTCATGTAGTATTGCCATTTTGTACAGTTTGTTAAATCTGTACTTAGATATTTTGGCAATGTATCTTTGCTTTAAGAATATTTGAAAAGAAAAAAATAGAAACTATGTAAAACAAGTTCAGATAAATGCAGCAGGTTTGCAAATAGATAAAGAGGGGAAAGGAAACAGCTGTTGATAGTTGCTAGTTATAAAGAGAGTTGTTTCTAGAGGTATATAAGAGTATTGGGGCCATTTGCCCAGACTGGACAACACTTTCTTTTTTTCAAAATCTAGTCTTGTTTTGAAAGAAAGTTCAAGAATCTTATTTATTTATTTGTTTAGCATTATTAAGTACCTCTTATGAGTGGAAGTAAAATCTTAAAAATGGATTGTTACTTTGTCCTAAGTTTTTTTGGATTTTTGTTTGTTTTGATTTTGTAGTGCTGGGCGCTGAACCACTGAGCGACATCCCCAGCCCTTTTCATTTTTGATTTTGAGGTGGGATCTCAAAGTTTTCCAGACTGGTCTTGGACTTGTGATCCTCCTTCCTCATCCTCTGTAGGAGTTGGGATTACCCATGTGCACCCTGATCTGACTGATTTACCTTTTTTTTCTTCTTCTTGTGTGAAGATCAACTCTTAATTTCCTCTCTTGTATACTCAACATTCTTACCTTTCTTCTTAATTTTATTGAGGATGCTCACACACCTGTAGCCTCAGGCAAATTACTCAAGACTGATTCTCTTATTTATAAAATGGGGTATCGGTGTTTTATCTTGCAAGTTTACTGTAATATTTACATGGAAAAAAAATCATTTCTAAAAGGGCTTAACACAATGCTTGGCAGAGAACAGGAGATGTTATATTTTCTCCTCCTCATGATAAGCTTCTGCACATTTTTTCTTTTGGAAATGGTTTTGAGTAGTGGCCTCAATTAAAAGTGTATTTGGCCTTTGATATAAGCTGTTTGTTCATACAACTTGGCAGTTGGCAAAGAACCATTTTCTAATTCAAATGAGAACTTTGAATTCTGTCTCCAAGAAGGTTTCTTACAGGTCATATGTTCACAAGCTGCTGTTTCTCTTTCAGATGAACAGACCAGCCATTTTCCACTGACTGGCAGGGATGGCATTCACTGATAGAGTCCAAAGCAGTGGCAGCAGGTAAGCATGGAATCTATGATTCAGAGCATGATCATATTTAAACTTAGATTCAAGTTTTTAAAGAATAAGTCTGTTCCTTTTCATTCTTTTGCAACTTCAGAACTCTCTAGAATAGGAAAGTGTATGAAAATGTCAGTTTTCTCTCCCTTGAGTCAAATCTGTTAAGACTGTCTATCATTTTTTGGCAGGGGTGAGGGGATGGGGGTGGTACTGGGGATTGAACCCAGGAATGCTCTACCACTGAGCTACAGCCTCAGTCTTTTTTATCTTTTGTGACAGGGTCTCATTAAGTTGTCAAGGTGGTCCTTAATTTGTAATCCTCCTGCCTCAGCCTCCTGAGTAGCTGGGATTATGGGTGTGCACCACTGTGCTCCTGTTTCTTTTTGTTTGTTTTGTTTTTGTTTTGGGGTGGGGGAAGCTGCGGATTGAACCCATAGGCTCATGTGTGCTAGGCAAGCACTGCTGCTATCTAACTCTTCCAGCCCCATATTTTCTTTAAAGCAAACAATTTCTTGTGTTTCTTAATTCATTTATTTTAAATGTGGATGTTAGATCAACTTCCTAATTCTGTGTTCAAGGTACTGTTCCATGTTGCACTCACTTGGAAAAATGAACACATTTAGCATCTGCTGAAACAAATATGATAAATCCACCTCATTATGACAGTCTTGGGACCAGGGATTCTGTAATATTTATATCTTGCCTCTTTCACATCTCTCCTTTCTGCTCTGCACACTCACTTCAGAGCCTTCTTGGATGTACTGAGTGTTGACTGTGGAGAGAAAACTAATATTCTGAATTTCAAGAATAACTCAATGACATATAGAATTCATAGTATCACCAATTAGTTTTTACCCAAGCTATTAGTTGTTTAAAAACATATCAAAGTTTAGTGCACTCCCTGTGATCCCAGCCACCTGGGAGCCTGAGGCAAGTAGCAAGTTGTAGGTCAGCCTAGCAATTTTCAAGGCCCTAAACAATTTAATGAGACCCTGTCAAAATAAAAATACAACAGACTGGGATGTAGCTCAGTGATAAAGCACCACTTGGTTCAATCCCCACTACTCCCTACCAAAACAAGTATCCAAGTATAAGAATTGGAAACTCAAAACTTGCTCAACTAGTTGTTTTGATTTGTTTTAAAGAGACAGGGTTTTCTCCATGTTGCCCAGGCTGGCCTGGGACTTCTGGGCTCCAATGACCCTTTTGCATGAGCCTCCTGTATAACTGAGACAATAGGTAGGCACCATGGCACTCAGCTTCAACTAGTACTTATTAATAGATTTTGTTGTTGTTATTGATGTTGTTTTTAATTTTTTTACATGATAGTCGAGTATATTTTTAAATATAAAGCAAGTATAACTTGTTCCAATTTAGAATCCCGTTATTGTGGTTGTACATGATATAGAGTTACTTTGGTCTGTATTCATATTTACGGAAAAGAAAGATATGTCTGATTCATTCTACTGTCTTTCCTGTTCCCATCTTCCTTCCCTTTCCTTCATTTACCTTTCTCTAGTCCAGTGAACTTCTCATTTTCCTCTCCTTTGTTGTGGGTTTAACATCCACTTATCAGAAAGAACATTCTGTCTTTGGTTTTTGGGGATTGGTTTATTTTACTTAGCCTGATATCTCCAATTCCATTCATTTACCAGCAAATGCCATAATTTCATTCTTCTTTATGGCTGAGTAATATCCCATTGTGTATATATACCACATTTTATTTATCTGTTCATCTGTTTGTAGGGCACGTAGGTTGGTTCCATAGCTGGGCCATTGTGAATTGAGCTGCTATATACATTGAGTGATTATATCGCTGCAGTATGCTGATTTTAAGTCCTTTGGTGGTATTTTGGGGGGGAGGGGCAGGTACTGAGATTGAATCCAGAGGCATTTAACCACTAAGCCATATCCCCATCTCCAGCTCTTTTAATTTTTTATTTTGAGACCGGGCCTCACTATGTTGCTGAGGCTGGCTTTGAACTTGTGATCATCCTGCCTCGACCTCACATGCTACTGGGATTACTGGCATGTGCCACTGCACCCAGCTTATTAGTAGATTTTTGGTGCCTGTAATTCTGAACTGTCCTAGAGACATTTCTACTTCCTTCCTGAAGGAAATTCTTCAGTTTCAGATGGTCCTGATGGGACTGCTGTGGAACTTGGTGTGTTCTCTTTCCCCACCCTAGGGAAGGCATGAGACCAGGCTGCCATTCCACATCCCCCTGGAGCCTGGGAAACCCTGTCGTTATTTGCCTTTATGTTTGTTCATAATGTTCAGTTACACATAAGTTTTAAATTTTTATGTAGTTAAATGTCTTGTCCTTTATGGATTCTGGTTTTGATTGTGCTTACAAAGGTCTTTCCTACTCCAAGATTGTGAAAATAATGGCATGTGTTCTTTGCTGGCATTTGTGTGATTTCATTTTTTTGCATTTAAATCAGAACTTGTAAGCTGGTGGCCTGTGGGATGAATCTGGTCAGCATATGGGTTTTGGTTAGCCCTTCACAACATTCTGAAAGAAATTATCTGCCAGTGTTTTTATATAACAAGCTATACTTCTATCTTCTCTTGAAATTTTTTTTAAGATCCAGCAACACTAGGCCTGCATTGCTGTACAGCAGTGCTCATAATTGAATAGCTGTAGCTCTTTTTGGTAGGACATAAGCTTTCTGATTCTGAGCTTCAGGAGGAACTTGCCATCAGTTCTTATCAGGTGTGCCAGATGATTCCCTCCAATCTACAGATGGACCAGAACTCCCACCTGATTTCCTCCTGTGGACATGTGCTTTATCAGTTCACCCAGAGAGACTTGAAGTTAGAGAGAAAAAAAAAAAAAAAAAGTTGGGAAAGTACTGATACTTGCCAGTGCGTTATAATTCCCGCACAACCAGATTCACACATGGAGTTCTTGGCTTTCTTAACTTGCAACCCATTTTACATTTTAGGATTTTTAGTATTTTACTCCTTCTGTAAATCTGTGATTAAAATCTTGTGTCCCCCACCACCACCCCATTTCAGTGCTGGGAATTGAACCAGGACCTTGAGCATGCTAGGCAAGTGTCCACCACTGAGCTACCTCCCCAACCCCTGTATTTAAAGTCTTTAGTGTATTTTGTAAATTTTCATAATAATAAGACCATTAAAAGATGAGGGATATTAAGGAGCCTTTTTTGTTGTTAAAGTGAAAAGCTAGCCAGACGTGCTCACACACCTGTAATCCCAGCAGCTTGGGAGGCTGAGGCAGTTCAAAGACAGCCTCAGCAACTTAGTGAGGCTCTAACTAACTCTGTAAGACCCTGTCTCTAAATAAAACAAAAACAAAAAAGGGCTGGAAATGTGGCTCAGTGGGTAAGTGCCCCTGTATTTACCCCCTAGTACCAAAAAAAAAAAAAAAAGTGAAAAGCTAGATAATAATTTCAACATAACTTATCAAATCACCTCTCTTTTCTCCATTTAATTGAATGCTGTGTTTAAATTCCATTACATTCTTTGATCTATCGTTGGAGTCTCTTTTGTTCCATATATTGTGTCTTCTGGCAATTGGCATACTGTTCATTGTTGTTATATATCTTAATAATCTTTATCAATATTTTTTCACTTTTAGAATTTTCATTTCATAGCTCTTCACATCTGATTGTATTTCCAGATATTCTCTTCAAGTCACTAGTCTTGAAAAACTATTCTAGAAAAATTATTGGTGTTCCCCCCCCCCCCACCCCCTTCAGTGCTGGGAATCCAACTCCGGGCTTTTTGCATCCAAAACGAGTGCTCTAATCACCAAGTCATACCCCTTCCCCCATGTTTGGCATTTGGATTGGGTCCCTTTGAATTCATCTATTAGAGAGTGGACTTCCATAGAATATTATATCTGGAGTCTTCTTATAGAAGCACCTAGATATCTGATTGGATTAAAAATTGGGAATAGGTGAGTAAAGGGGATTCTGGTGAATGAACCCAGGGCCTCATGCATGCTAGGCAAGCACTCTACTAGAGCCTCATCTCCAGCCCAGATGGGTGAGAACTTCAGAGGATGAAGACATTTTGTCTTTCAGCTATAAGATTTTTGTAGAGGTTTGATTTTTTTTAAAGTTTCTAGTTGTTCAAATTGCATCCAGTGTCTTTTCTAGTGGGAAAAAAAAAATCAATTATAATAGTTAAGAGAATTATTAGTGGAAAAGATTTAAAAGATGTTTTGTATTACATGTATTTTTCTGTTGTTGCTCATTATTTTTTGTGGCTGTCCTTGCTCATTATTAAGTTGAGATAAGTAATTGCCCTTTGTAGTAACATTCTAACAACTTCAGCGTTATTTTTATTTTCATTACATTTATTTTCCTAGCTCCTTACCTCCCTGGTATGCTACTTTTCACTTTAATACCTAGTACAAGTGATAAGCTAAGGGAAATCCTAAATAGAGGTCTATTTTTAATATATACCAGTAGCTCAATTATGTAAATGTTTAACCATGATAGGTATTGAATTGTTAAGTAGTTATGCTGGGTGCGGGGTGGACATCAAGTTCATGTGGAACTTTTCCACAATGGGACATACATGAAAGAAAGCAGATGTTTATGGAGCATGCAACTCTAATAGCTCAAAGAAAATGAAAGTCTGAGTGTGAACCCCTACTTGCTTAGGGCTACATAGAAAGTCATAAGCATGAACAGTACTAATGTAGTGTGCAAAGACAATATTTGTTTTAGTTTTAGTTTTTGTTTTAGTACCAGGGATTGAACCCACAGGTACTTTACCATTGAGCCACATCCCCACTCATCATCATTATTATTATTATTATTATTTTATTTTTTGAGACAGGGTCTCATTAAGTTGCTGAGATTAGCTTAAAACCTGCTATCTTCCTGCCTCAGCCTCCCAAGTTGCTGGGATTAATAGGTGTGCCACCACACCTGACTTGATTGAGTTCTTATACATAATAGGCATAGGCATATTTTGATTTTCGGATTTATGAGCATTAGATACCATTGAATGTGAGCTC